GCGAAAAAGACACGCGTCCAGCTTGGAGGAGCACTTAGTATAGCAGAATCTCAGGTTATCCTGGAAGAAAAGGGCAAAGGGAAACGTCCAGCGCCTCAAGAAGGTGAAGATGGGGGTCTGTCGAAGAAGGGTCGGTCGGCTCAACGGCGTTGCGGTGTGTGCGGCAAGACAGGCCATAATGCGCGAACGTGTTCTAAAGATGTAGAATCGTCTAGTGAATCAGATGCCGATGAGAGCTAATTCATTTTCATGTTCTGGTTGTAAAAACTTATACGATGTTTGAAAGATGAGGAAAAGTGCGCGGCTGACTGATATGCGCGGCTGACTGGTAAAGTACGTTAGCTGAGAATGAGTTGCGGTGCAATTCGACCCTCTGAAAGCAATTGCATCTTCTTTTTAGCTAGCAATGAATGATAAGCTCTCTACCAAGCCAATCTTTGTAGTTAGGTCATGCCGAAGGGCACGGCAGCAAGGCGTGTAGAGGGCTGTGAATATGGCCACAACCGCAGCAGTTTGACGCCATCAAGGTCGCATTATCGTCACACAAAAAGACCAGTGTTGTAGTAAGGCCGCCCAAAGCAGCAACCCGCCATTCAATTATCACAGCACCGACCCTATGTCCTGCTAGCTATACAGTTCAATCTGACCCAAACGGGCTGCTTCCATTTCCATCATCATACACTTCCACCCCTCTAATCTCCTCTCCGTCCCCTCTTGACGGGCGGCGGACTTCTCGACCTCGATATCGAGTCGCTGTGTCTCCTCCGCTTGACACCGGCCGGGCTTGATCGCACCGGCGAATCTCTTCTCGGCGCAGGCTGTCTTCTGGGCGGCGGGCTCGGTGACCTCGAGTAAGAGTCTCGCCTACCTTTTCGCGCCCTCGGCGGCGGGGAGACGCTACCGCGGGGTGGTGGAGACCGACTATCTCTGGGTCCTCTGCGGTCAACTGGTGAACGGGATCGTGAATCCACCGAAGACCCGCGACTCGGGGACCGGCTGGGCGAGCGGCTTGGTGAACGGCTGCCGTAGCGGGCGCGTTTCCGCGGCGCGCTGCTCACCGATGAGCTGTTTCGCCTGACGGCACGGCGCGTGTCCTGCTTGGGACTTCGGCCGCGGGGTGCACCCCTGGCTGGCGGGGGGCTTGCAGAGTAAGATGCGGACCGTCCTCTTCTCGGAGGAGGCGATCTGCTGGCTGAGTGGCTATCTCTCTTGGCGCGACGAGGCGGCGGACTTCCGCTCAGACTGCGATCTCTGGGGCCATTTCGGGCTGGAGAGGGAGATCGTGAATAGCTGACGGATCGACCGCGTCGTCTGGGTGGGCTGGCCGAGTACGAATCGTCGCGGCGTCCCCTGCGCGGAGGGGTGATCGAACGACTGTATGAGCGAGATCGTGATGAGCTGCGACTGTACGAGCGGCCTCGTCCGCGGGGTGAAGGAGATCTAGACACTGAGTTTCTGCGATCTGTGACGCGTCTCGGAGACCTTGACCTTGATCTTGACCGTGAAGAGTACGAAGAGCCAGTGTATGAGGAGTAGCTGGATACCGACTCGGAGTCCGATTCGTCGGCGGCTGCGGGGGCGGGCAACGCCGGCTTGGGCATGTTCTGAAGGTACTCGCGCGATGCCTCGGTGAGGGCTCCCATGCCGATACTGGTGAAGTAGTTGATGGAGAAGCGAATGTTGCGTGCGTTGTCTCTTGGGAACAAGCCGGTGAAACTGGGTTGAAGGATTTCGTCCTTCATGCGCACTTGGAGCTTCGCCATGCCAATCTCCTCGGAAATGTCCTGGAAAAGAATCTTGATGAAGATTCTGGAACTGCTGGTTGTCTCTTCCTCGTTGAGGTGGATGGCGGACAGAACATGCCAGCCTATGGCATCGGTAGCCAGTAGGTGAGCGAAGAAGCGCGCGATATTGCGCAACCTGTTCGTCTCGTAGCGATGGATTTTGTTGTAGTAGTCGACGAAAGAGTCCTCGAAAAGGCCAGTCCATAAGCGGTTGAGCTTAGCAAAGCGCTCTCCAATGAGACCGTGGAATTTGGAGTATGTCTTCTCCTGAGAGCAGATCTCCACAATCATGGAGGGCAATTCTGGCTCCTGTCCCGCGGGAAGGTTGACTCGGAGCAATTTGTGGACTGCTTCCTCGGGGTCGATCGACGACATGACCGTGAGGTAGATCGTTCGTCGGAGGTTGACCAAGTCGGTGTTAGACTGGTCTTTGATCTCCATGGCCTTCTCCTCCTCGTCCTCTTCCTCCTCTGAGCTCTCATCTTCGTCGTCATCATCCTCGTAGTCACTGCCCTCTCCCAAAATCTCAGCCTTCAGCTTCTTGTAAGCCTCCTCGTGCTCTTCCCACTGCGGGTCGAACTTGAAGATGTTCACACTATCCTGAACATCGATCTCGCCATCCAGATCGACCATATGCGTGATCTGATCCTCTTCTTCCACCAGATCCAGCTCCTCCTTGATAGGCGGGTTGTCCTTGAAGTTGTCCTTACGAACCTGGAAGAGCACCTCAATCATGTACTGCACGCGCTTATCGATATCGGCCTCATGCAACACGTTTCTCAACTGGTCCCAAACCGCCATAGCAATCGCGGGCTGCATGTCTTGCAAGTGTTGTCCGACCTCGCGGAAGAAGTTGACGGCAATCTCTACACTGTCGTCGGTCGGCTTGTGCAGGAGAAGCAGGAGCATTTGGCCAGCAAGTCTCTCGTGGACGACTTGGTGGTTGATGAGATGCGCCAAGAATGTCGTAGAGGAGACGCAGACAGCCTTGTCGCTGCGCTTGAAGCCCTTGCGGAAGGACATGATGAGGCGCTTCACTAGGAGTTCGCCGACCGCTGGGAGCTTCGTGTTGACGATGGCGGCCATGGCCGCGAAGACGGGCGTGAACGGCAAACTTGCTGCCTGCGCCTTCATAATGGAGCGGCAGAAAAGACCGCGGCCTTTGATCAGGTTCTCGCCAAACAGCTCGGGGACGATGTGCTTGATGTTGGAGTAGTTGACCTTGTTGATCAGACCGTTGATACTCTTCTTCAGCGCCTCCCACATCAACCTCTGGTATTCCTTCGAGCTCTTGTCGGTAATTTGAGCCTGGAGCGCCCTCAGTCGAGCAGGCGGGATGTACGTGCCACCGGATCGCATCGAAAGGAGCTTCTCGTACTCGGCCTTCGCGATAGCCTGCTTCTCCTCCTCAGTCTTCGCAGGCGGGCTCGGACGACGTTCCTTGGGCGCTGGACGGTAGCTATCTGGGCGAGCTCGATCGCGACCACGATCGCGTGGGCGCTCGCCATCGCTATCGTGGCGTGGTCGACGGTCGCTGATGTCGCGTTCGTCGGCAGATTCGCCGTCGCGCTCGCGGCGCTCTGGGCGCGGCGACTCAACGTCTGCCGATGCCATCGTGCCTTTTGCTTTCCAAGTCCCAGAGATCGATCCCGGATTCGAAGGGAACTCGCGACGCTTTGAGGCAAGGGCGGGCGATCGGACACACCCTGATTGCTTGTTGGCGACTTTTTTTTTCCTTGGGGAAAGGATGCTTTGACGCAGCCTGGGTGGAAGGCTTCCCAAGAAAGGTACCTAAAAATCATAATTGTGGCTGGGGACTTGTAACGCCCCATAATCGAGAAGGACGCACGAGCCAGTTGCGGCTGGAGCTTGCCTTCCTGACAGGGGGACCCGCCCAAGCAAGCGTGCGTGGAAGTGCATTGTCAACCGTGGCAGCTCCTCTGTTAGCACAGGTCCAGTCCAGTCCACCAGGCGCGCCCTCATCCCCTGAAATCGCGACGACAATTTTCCCGATCGGCCAGCTAGCTGTTGACCTTTAACCACTTTCCTTCTTCCCCACGATACCTCTCCCATCCGGTTACCTGTCAACTATCTCACCGGCAGCCGCACTCGCAATCCGCCAATTCCTTCCTCACGCTCCTTTACTTCCGTTTTACCAAACACGACAATGGTACGTCGACCCTTCCCAGGAGACCTTGCGTCCCACCTTGCGCAACAAGGGATGCAGCGCAAGATGACTGAGGGACTGTCATGGCTAACTTTTGCTCCTCCTCCAGCTTGGAACACTCGTCGGTCTCGCCATGCTCGTGGCTGCCTCTGTGATCTTCACATACTACTCCATCTGGACCCTGCTCATGGTAGATGCCCTTTCCCCCCATGCTTCCACCAAGACCACAAGGTGCGCTAACACGCCCCGCCACAGCCCTTCGTCGATGACGACCACCCGCTTCAGAACTTCTTCCCTCCTCGCGTCTGGGCCATCCGCATCCCCGTCATCCTCATTCTCGTCGGCTGCGCCGTTGTCGGCTCTTTCTTGGGCACCGTTATGATCCGAAGCAACAGAAAGAAGGCCGCCAAGGCCAAGGCTGCCGCGAAGAAGAAGGCGTAAAGGATCTCAAACATTACAGGACGACTGTCGCGGCTCTTGTAGGGCCGATTTCAATCTATTACAATCGGACGTCTTCCGCTCAAAGCAGTCACAAACATCAAGCGAAGGGTGTTGCGCACTTGTATACAGGAATGGGTATCTAAAGCTGGTTGTATTGGAGAATTGAGCACATGGCCAATCTCGGAGCAGTGCTACCTACTCTGCATATGTTTAAGGACTACTACCCTATGCCAGAGAGAAGAATACCAAAAAAGACCAATAAAGGAGTGAGTGGCACGACCGGCCAAGTATCCGCCCCCATGATCCTAGAGCATCGGCCAGCAAACGTGTTTACATACCGACCCCTCCCCCATCCAGTAATGAAATCATGGCGCGAATGACTGTTGGTCTAACCTGGCTCCAAACGCCCCTTGCATTGTTTCTCAAACTCTCTGATCAGCAAAGTCGAGGACTTCACAATCGTCCTCGAAAAAACCATCCTCATCCTCCGCATGACGAGCTCCACGTCGTCTCCGAGTAGTGACAACAATCTCGTCACCATTCCCCCCACGATGCATGACTCTCTCCATCGAAGACAACGGAAGCGCCCGGTGATCATCCGAGATGTTGAATTCATCTTCTGAAACCGAGTGGTGTCCAACGTCCAGCCGAACCATGTTGAGCGGCTGACCAAACGCCCATGCTTGGGAAGTGTTCGGCTCCACCGGGTTGTATGAGACCTGGGGGCGCTGTTGCCGCTTCTTCTGCTTGGGCGTGGGTCGCTCGTCGAGGTTGGTCTCAGCCATGAGTGCAGCCAGCGAGGGAGTCGGGTTCGAGGCTTGTTCATTGTACTCGAAGAGAGACACACGCCTGTCGGTATGGAAGGGCTGGTAAGGTGCGCTGGATTCTATCTCAGCTTGCGGGATCGATGCCTCGGCGCTCAGATCAGCATGCAGGGGTCTAGCACGAGGGTCCAGAGTCAACGTATTGCCAGCGTCCATCTCTCGATCGGACAAGTCAAGATATTCATCTGAGTCGATGAATTGCCTAACTGCAGGGGCAAATCCATCATCTGGCAGCGCTGGCACCTTGAAGTCCTTGTACCGACTACCTCTTGGCATTCGCTGCTTTGGAGGCGTCGGTGCAGGGCGACGGGTTTTGGATGGGTAAGAGCGGACGAGACCATCGCCCACAACGTAAAGCGTGTGGTACTTTCTACCAGTAATCCATACGACGCATGAAGCTGTGGGAAGCCATTGGCTTTGCGGCAGAGACACGCGGTTTTCTCCTGTGTGACGCAGTTGGTTGATGGCAACACCGGTCTTGCCGAGGGAATGGCTAATGCTGGCAGCGATCGCCCTGCCACCAACACTCGCAGAATCGACAAAGTTGCCGTGTGCCACGCCTTGCGCATTCGAGCTGCTCCTACGCGGCCGAGTGATGAGAGGCCTGGCTGCATGATAGGCTGCACCAAAGGCACTAGAAGCAATGGAGACAGCAGAGCTAGGGGCGTCCGACGCGGGAGCTCCATTCTCTTCCGTTGCCTTGCGGCGGCGAGGGGGAGGCCAAGTAAATGCGCTCGATGGCATGTCCAGAAGATGAACAGTTCCTCGTTCAGTGACCATGGCGATTCGCTCTCCATTGGGCTTCGACCATGCAACTTCGACGATTCGGGCCACAGTCATTCGCGAAAACTGGGCGACTTGACGTACTCTCGGGCCCATCGCGCTGTTAGACGCCAGTACCTGAAGTGGGGAAGACTTGGTGTATTGTATGCACATCAGGTCCCAAACGGTTTGCACGTCGCCCTTGCCGCTTGCTGTGAACAGCGACAGGCCCGTCGGCGAGAATGACAAGAAGCTGCATCCGAGAGGAGAAGCAAACGTGATCAGAGGATGCAACACGGCCGAAGTTGGCAGACTGTCCAGGTCCAGGATAGAGACAAGACCGGGATCCTTAGTGACCGCCTGGCCCGGCGTACCATGAGTTGGCGGGAACTGAGGCGCATCGTGACGGGGAGGGTAGGAACCAGCCCACTGCTGGGCTGCGAGTGGTGGCGATCTCGGCTGTTGGGGCGGCGTTTGGTTCGCACTCTTGTTCCAGTACGAGTTCCAGGCCTGCAAGCCTTGCTGGCCAACCCATTTCGCACCAGAGATCAATTCCTGCGTGGTCTCGCGCATGATCTTGTTCACCATGCTCTCTGCCATGGGAGAGTCAACTGCGCCGGTAACACCAGGAACCACAGGCGAAGTTACCGAGGCAATGCCGGGAGCCTTGCCAAAGATGGGAACCGGTACGTGTGCGCGAAGGGCGATCTGTGAATTGGCGGCGGGAGGGCAGTAGGCGAGCCACTTGCCGTTGAGCGACAGAATCGGCGTTTGAGGGTTAGGACGCGGCGGTGCGGGCGAATGTCTTCGCTCCGCTTCTTCCGCAACTTCCCCTCTTGGGAGTTGTTGAAGGCTGGTCCAAAGCTTTCCCATGCAACCGAAGCGAACAGGACTGTCGACAACATCCACAATTTGTCGGTAAACCCAGCATTCTCCGCTCACGCCTGAAGCTATGACAATGTTGCCAGCATCGGCCTTGACGGTGAACGCGCCTGTGGGAGGTGGCGCCTTGAAGATTGGGCTCGTCACCGGCGTTGAAAGAGGCACTTTTGGAGCTTGAAGAAGTACGTCAACAAGCTTCCCCGTCTTCAGGGAGTGTAACTCAACGGAAGTCTGGTAGAACTCGATCGCAGGGGTGAACCGCCCAGAGGGCCCTCCTTTCTGGCTGCCGTCCGCTCGGGGGCTGTCAGGAACTTCGCGCTCTTCAGCGATGGTCTCATTTGCAGTTTGAATGGCGATTTCTGGCGATGTCTGTGGTAGAACTGGACCGTGGACAACAACGGCGACCAGAGGGCCAAGCTCAGCCTGGTCATTTGGAGTGGACCAAGGCAGAATCTTTGCGTTGTACACACCACCCCGAAGTCCCTTGAGGCCGGCAACACGGTCGAGGCCGCGTTTGGTCACGGAGTAGACTTCCAGGCCACCCTCGTACCCCGCCAGTGCGACGTTGTCCGATCCCGGAACAAGCTCGGTGTGGGGAGACGGCAGATTGTCGAAGCCAAAATGGTAGCCTTTGTCACCAGCCTTCAAGCCGGCTTTGGAGGCCATGTCGAAATCGATATCCGGGGCGCCATAAAAATGCGGCTGCGGTTGGTGGGGAAGTGGAGGGTGAGAACCAACTCTTGCGTGGGACAACTGCGACTGCATGGAGCTACGGCGAAAGGCTGCAGCTGCAGCCGGTTGATGGTAGGCCTCAAGTGGATACTGGGCATCCATTTGGAAGCTGAGTGGGCGCTTCATATGATTTGGCATGCTGTTGGGAGGGGAGGGCGACGCAGTTTGGGGAGTCAAGGACTGGCGCTGGACAGCCCACCCGTGGTGGAGGCGACCGGAATCCTCGTAGGAGGACGGCTGGGTAGGCGGAGATTCACCCATGAGGCTAATCAAGTTTCCCGGAGAACCAGCAAGGCCTCCTCTTGCCCATTCGTGGTTTGTACTTGCAGCAGTACTCGCGGACACAGACGTCGTGGAGAGGGCATCCAGGGTCGGCGAGATGGTGGGGTGCCCATCGTAGGGTGACGAGCCTTGAGCAATGGGTCTGATGTCGGGGGAGTTGACGGGAGGCGACGACGCATCGGAGGGGGGACTCTTGGAAGGACTGCCGTTTCTTTGAAGATGTCAGTGGAAGTTGTCACGACAAAGGTTTTAAGCAAAGATGCAGAACAAGGCAGCAGTGACTCAAAGGTGCTGATGGCGGGGTTCAGGAGAGGGGAGTAAGAACGTACGCAAACTTGCCCGCGGCGAGTTTCGTCACCGCGGCGCTAACTCCACCATCTTTCGCGTTCTTTCTGTCCTTCTTAGAGCCTGTTTTGAGAATTTTCATGAGTATGATGTTCGTCTGCTGAACCTAGCACGTATGCGTCAGAAGCGCGGAGTAGGTCCGAACTTACTCGGCATTCAAGTGGTGTTGCGCCGCAGTTGGAGCAGTTTCCTGCTCCAAGAACCTGCGTTCCCGCAAGGTAGCTCTACCCTTTGAGAGAATACGAGTACTTTGAATGTATGGAGAGTCGTGGAGGATCGCGATAAGAGGTTCGATGGTGGTATGAGGGGTATCGGGTTAAGCGACGGTTGGTTGGGTCTATTAGAGATGACGGAACGCGGCGAGAAAAGCGGCAGATGACCTCGGAGGGTGAAAGTGCCGCAGACGCTGGGATATGCTTCGGTTTGAACGACGGCTCGATATGGCAAATGGAGAAAATAGGCAAGTCGTGCCTCGTATCGTTGGTGAAGGTTGTACGGAAGAAGCAGAAGTGTAAAGAGCGGCGTTCTTTCCAGGCACAGCCAAAATGGAGAGGAAGTAATTACGGTCGCAAGTGAAGAAACAGTCTATAGAAGGAAACAGAAGAGGAAAGACGTGACGGACGTGACAGGACGTGACGTGACGAGTATGTTCACGGGAATGCTGCTATCGTAGTTTGGTTTGGTTGTTGTTGATGAGTCGAAGGGAAGGAGCACGGGGGAAGGAAGTGAGGTCAGTCATGGCGACAGGTAGGTAGGTAGCATAGCAGGTCCCCGGTACGGAGTAGGTAGGTGCTGCATGGTACGTGCTCCCCGCCAGCAGGTCTCCAGCAGGTCAGGCCGGGCCTGGTCAGGTACACCACCATCAAATCACAGGCGCGCCGGGGTCGTCTAAGAATGGGTACAGCGGTACATCGGATGCCGTAATGGAACAGAAGAGGTCAGATAAGATACGGGAAGCCGGACCTTCCTTACACAGCACCTCCCCTCCTACCCTCAGCCCAACTAACCTGCCACTTCCACTTCCACATTGCGACGCAGTACTTCATTACCCCTCGCGACATCCTTCAGAGTCCACCCGCACTTTCGTCCCTCAGCAGGTCACTGGTGCAGCAGCTGCTCTCCGCGGGAGGGAGCGGGGCGTTTGCGTGCTTTCGCAGCTCGACAACCCGAGGACGGCGCGGTGCCCCCAAGGTGCCACTCACTGAATGCCCCCCTCCAAGCCACCCCTCCACGCCCTCCACTTCAATCAGGACAGCCAGTTGGAGGAACTGGGGCCAGGGTGCAGGGGTGTCAAGCGCAGGCAGCTGGCCAGGATTGGAATGAAAGAGGGTGGGAGGGTGAGGGGTGTTTCCGGGGAGAGGGACATCCAGGGCACTGGTGCTGCGCGCTGATGTTGCTGCTGCTGTTAATGCTGTTTGGCACTGTCCCGCAACTGCAACTGCAAGGCAGGAGGTTCCAGGTGCGAGGTATCTTCTGCCCCTCGAGCATGGCCTCCGGTACATCTCGGCGGCATGTAGCGCAGGGCAGGATGCAGGACGCAGTGCGGATACAGCTACAGATACAGCGCACCAATCTGGAGCCAGCCTTCTTCATCGGACAGGGGGTGGTTGGGACAGGTTGAAGATGATAAAGTCTTCCTAGGTATTCTTTGTGCTAACAATAGCCGCAGAAATACCTGTTTCGATCTCGGGATACTTGGCACTGCAAGCCATTAAGGTACGGCGGTACGTATCCCAGACATCAGCAACAGACACTTCCTGCTTGACACTCAGGTCGACACGCCCAGGCCTCTCTCTACGCGGTAGAGCAGTCGGGTCTGGCCTGGCCTGGTCTGGTGTCCCGGAGTTCAGTCCAGCCCAGCCATCAACAGGAGCAACAATCGCATTATCTGCGATACGCCTCCAGCAGCTCTTTCAACACGGAACCGCAGATGGGCGGTAGTCCTCTCCTTGTGCGAAATCGAAGACGCAAACATCAAAGTCACATCCGCTTGTCAGAGGGACACGATCCAACGCTACGAATTCAATCTTTGTCTGAGACCCCTCGTCTCGCTCAACACTCACCATCTCTTCTTCCATACACTTCCACCGATTTACCATGTGCCTGACGGTTGGCCTCCCACACCACACCACACTCCTGGTGCTAAGCTGAGCTCTGCATACGCATACAGAGTCTCTTCTGCCGAGGCCGGCGACGGGCAACCCAACCTTGGAATGTCTCTCTGTCTCTCTCACTCTTTCTTAGCAGTCAGGACGCAGGCGGCAACGGCGCCAGGTCTAGTCAGAGCCAACCCAGTCAACCAATACCAAGACCAATGCCGAACTGACACTCCCATTGTCCTTTACTCCTTCCACCTTCTCCCCCTCATCCACCAATCTCGCTCATCAATCTCCGTCAAATCACTACAATCTCACCCCTGTGTCCGGGACCAGCTGCTGACGCCTGGGCTGTGCGTGCCTACACGCGCCTGCGCCCGCGGTGGACGACGGATGATAGTGACGATCCGGGGGTGACCGATGCCATCATTCCGCTTTGGCCTGGTGACGGCGGCGCAGACACGACCTGCTGGACGCTCTCAACCAAGCTTCCCCCGGGACAACAGCACGACGGTTCGTACACTAAAATAACGGTTGCCCGTCTTTCACCTACCGCCAACCTGGAAATTGCCTCGCAACCTCGCTTCTCCATGCCTCTTTACGGTGTGCCGTCGCCCATCCCATTTTACCCCCCCGTCCCCGTCATCGGTCACCCGTCCATCCTGTCGCGCACCAGCTGTTAAACTGCCACACCCGACACTCTTCTGGCCAGACCGTCCAACTGACAAAGACACCTGACCCCTCGGTGGAGGACGGGGGGCCACCAAGTCAGGTGAACGGGCCACTCATAGCTCTCTCGTGGCCCACGAGAACAACACACCACCACTGACGTAGGTAGGGCTCTCCTGGTACCCCTCCTTATGCCCGCGGGCTCGCATCTCTGAGAACTCCTCGAGCCTCTCAACCCTCACCGTTTCAAGATGAGATGCCGGTTATGAAGTCATCTGTTGGGAAAGCTGAGTTCTGGCTATCGTCGGGTCATTACCTAAGACAACAGCCCCAATCCAACGAGGCGAAGCGAGGCGAGATGGTGCAGGACGAGGCGACGCGGACGACGCATGGCACGGGGACGCCCGTGGTCGCGACCTCGTCGAAGCGCAAGCGCATGGAGCGGTTTGAGGTCGGAGCTACTACCGGATGAATCCATCGTCATCGATGAGATCAAATTCGATGCGCTCCCGTCCGTCAGCCTGAGAATGGAACACCGGAATGCCATCGTGAAAAGGCGCAGTCAGTGGGTTCGACAAAACACACTTTGCGCCAATTCCCAGCGTCTCGTCCAACATCTGTCTTTCGGCGGATAATGCCATGGACGTATGTCGTCCAATTCTAAATTTGCCTTGACAACTCCCAGCCTCTCGGCTCTACAGTGTCCGAGGTGTCGCATTCGACGCTTCAAAAGTTGGACTCAAAAGGCAGTGGCCCCTCAATCGGAGCCCACTGGTCTAGCCAGACCCGATAATCATCCATTCGCCATTCACCATCGTGCTTCTTCCATGCCGCACTCCCAGCCCAACTAAACACGTTCTCACTTCCATCCAGCCCCTTTCTCCTGACACCACCCTTCAACATGACGTGCACACCCTGTTCGGTTACTGACCCGATTGCGCTCGTGATCCAGTGCTTCCTCGCCGCGACTGAGCCCCACATCTCCGTCCGCAGCTGCCGGAGGTCTTGATCCAAGTGTCAGCTTACGGCTGCAACTCATCACCCGCGTCGTACGTACTCTCGTGCTTCTCGGCCGCCTGCGGTCCAATCTTGACTTTCGCGTCCGGCGTGAAGAACGCCAGCCATTGCTCGTTCAGCTCCTTGTTGTCGCTCGTCCGGTAAAAGTCCCTAAGGCGGAGCCGAAGGTCCCGGTCCATAGCCGTCTCGGTCGGCCAGAACGGCTCCAGCCGTGAGTAGCTGTCGTACGGCTCGACGCCTTCTGTCGCTGCGAATTCTCCCATTTTTCGATTTCGTACAGTGAACTTGTTTCTGTTCCTCACTGATAATGTTTCTTCAACGTATGCGAGCACACACCAGCGAGCGGCGGAGGTGTGTGACGTTTATACCCGTCCCAAGTCCCAGTGTTAGTTAAGTCTTCGGCCCGGGCACCTGGTCTGACGACACCCGAAATTCGGAACTGTTATCCGGGAAGGGAGAACATCATGAGAGTCGGAATTCCCGTTGCGACGATGGTGCAATTGCGCGGCTAACGCACAGCAACCTGTCGTCGTCTTCAAAGCTACGATGCGATAGTTGGATCGGTAATCAGAGTCGTTGAGATTCCTTCCCATAGATGCGGGCTGAGTGCCGCCTTTCGCGGGGTTCCGAGGTTGGGATTGGCGCTGCCCCTCTTAGTATCGCAATTTGCTGCACAGAACATCTCACCAAGAGAGGCTTAGCCTCTAATCTCTCCCCTTGGTGTAGTTGGTTCATCACGTTCGACTGTAATGGTTACGTTGTCATCGAAAGGTCTCTAGTTCGATTCTGGAAGGGGAGAAACAAACTTTTTTTGTCGGTTTTTGCCATTGCATAATTGCGTCCTGGGTCATCTCTGAGATTGTGCATTTCACTGAGAGAGACAGCATTCCAGTGAATTTCTTGGCGCTAGAGGCTCAGCAACGTTACTTTGAGCATTTAACTGGCCCTTCTATTCGCTTTTCACATTTATTTGGATCATGTTGTCGTGGCACATGTGTTGTTGCTATTTTCGACGTTTGGATAATTAGATGTTGGCTGCAGATTTGACACGAAGACTCTGCAAAACCTTTGACTTAGAGACCAAAACCTATCCCCCTATATTGACCTCCAGAGGAACCAAGACATTGGAGCGTGAGCAGTGTGGTTCAGTGAGCTTGTGGCAACTGACAAGTTGGTACCAGTCAAACCGCGAAGTTCAGAGGCTTTGGATAGGTATTGGGCAGATGGGTGCTGTTGGGGTGGCCAGCTATGCCAGCTCATAATATGTACTCAATGTACCTGCTCGCTATCTGCGAGATGCGGCGGCCGGATATTGGAACGGAGTTCGAATGACCGCCGATAATAGAAGTTCTCATGCTCCGCACGTGGTTGTTGTTTATTATGAAGTTTTCGCTTCTGCGGGCTGCAGCGCGGTGCGAGTGACTGCTGGTGATGGGCGCCCTAGTGCTGGGCATGCTGTTTTTCTTGCTGCTGCAGATGTTAGTGTTGTGTTTGCCGACGGTAACGGGCCGTTACTTGCGCCAACAGTATCCGGGAGCATGCATCGGGCAGGGCGACAAGTACAATCGTCTGTGGTAGCTTGCCCTCTGGGAAGTTGCCGGTGGATGGACCGATGTCATCGTGGTAGCGGTGGATGGGGAAGGCTTGGTCGATATCCTTCAAGTCGTCGTCGCGGAAAGGGAGGATGGAGGCTCAGTCTTGCCATAAATCCCACGGTCTCTGGCCACGCGTTTCTTCGTTCCTCAGGTGCTCTCGTGTGGCTATCAGCGCCTTTCCCAAGCGGTTCTCTCCCCAGTCCTTTCGTTGGTTCATGGCATGCTTTGCACTGTATCCGATGCCCCAAACGCGGTCTCGAGATGCCGCATCACACAGCAGGCGGCCATGCGTAGAGAGCAGTTTTCTTGCGAGGTTTGGGTTCTGGCTGAACTTAGCAATGTTGCCTACCTCTACGACTGCGCTCTTGATGGGATCCCAAATCTCGTCGGTGAAGCCTTCTTTGTGGTAGTCTTTCTCGCTTGAGGAGCGATTTAGTGGTGGTGGTGGTGGTGGTGTGTTATCTTATTAGTTGTAAAAGACGAATGTTCAGAGTATGTACGGCAAGGGTATGGCAAGAGTACGGAGAAGGGAAGTGTGCATCTGCCTGGAAGTTGGGCAATACTCTTATGTTACAATCCGTTCAGAGGACCTCTTAGGCGTAACTGTGTTTTACTTGCTGTACATTAAATAGTTAAGCTGAAGATGAACTAGACATCAAGACCAACAAAGGGAACACCTATAAGAACACGCAGAACCTTTACAACCTTCAGCTTTTGAGAGGTAATTTAGTCACTTCATGACATCAGAACATCACCAGTGACGCATTACAAAAGAATCAACCCGATCTTGAAGTTCTACTCAATGCCAAATATTAATCCGTCGAAAACCCCTGGCATTTCAGCTTCAGTAATTTGCTTCGGAGGCAAAGGCGGAGACTTCTCCCACGCAGGAACCTTTCGAAGACGACTAACCCAGAAGACAAAATGGTTGCAGTGATGTGTAACAAGGTGCTCGAAAAATTGCATACCTGGAAGCTACATAATCCTATTTAAATGCAGCACTCTCTGCATCGTCCTGTCGTTTCCTTTCGATTGTTCATTCTACAATCCCGATTTCGCAGCTCCAGCTTTACACTTTGGTCAACAAATTGACTCTGCCAAGCTACAGCTAAGATGTCTACCAACTCCCTGGTTTCCCTTGAAACCCTCCTCGAGATTGGGTTCTCCCAGGAAAAGGCAGAGCAAATCTGGACAAAGTGGTTAAATTGGCCAGAAGGGCCTGTCAGCCGAGAGACAGACCCTTATGATGGGGGCCTGCAGATGACGTTCGACCACTTCTTTATTGCAGGCCTCGAGAAAGACGACGGAGATGTGTGGGGCGACGACGAAACAGAATGGCGAAACTCACTCACTCGCTACGGCATCAACAGCGACACGCAAGATGCCATTATGGACCCCGAATTCAAACACATCCGCTTGGCTCAATCTGCACGGTTCTGGGCTAAAGACACCGTCGAGATGCGCTACGCCTGGTTGCAAAGATGCGCAAACAATTCCACGGCACCTCCGTCCCTACAATCGTCAACAGCGAACAACGATGGCCAGGCACCCAACAACATTCTGCCTGAAGTGAGTCGTGGGCCTCCGTACAAACTGAAACTGTACAAAGCTGCAGACTTGGGTCGTGCCCATCGGCTCTTCGACAAGAGCGGAACCTTTGACTGCATCGCGGATCTTCGAAGTCCTGCTCCTTCAGACTTCACTGGACATTCGTCAGCATTCTACTTCAGCCCTGACATCGAGGTCGCCCAACTCGAAGGCGCTTGCGCGAAGCGCAGGGCGAGTCGCTCATCAATCGCGCTCATACAGACCACGATACCAGTCGATGAGATTAACAAACTGCCAGATGAAGACGTACTCTCTGGCCTGCACTGGACGGACCTCTTGTGGAAACAACTAGTCTGGTCATCTCGGAGAGGAGAGATTCTATCGGGCGACCTCCGCGAATATCGCGGAGTTACTATCATCGTTGGTACTAAGGCTCGATTGCCGAACGCAGTGTATAGTAAGATGGAATCTCCAACAGATATCAAGAAGGATTGTGTCTACATGGTCACCGAAAAGTTCGAGTCTCCGTCGGCAATTCAGTGGATGTTTTCAGCTGAGGGTGAGGGTTTCTTGAGAGATCACGGCTGCTTCAAAGTCGTTAGCTATTTCTAAGTAGATTTGCTATCTGAGCAGACATCCTTATTATCTTTGGCACCAACTACCTAATTATGCTAGTGCTACATCTTGATGTTTGATCCACTCACAGATACAGGCTTATCTATTCAAGAATGATTACAAAAGAACTCATCACCAAGTATTGAGAAGCTGCACCGGTTACTTCATATGGGTTTGAGCCGTTATAAGATTCATAAGGCTTTGTGCAATCAATTACGCACCTAGTAAGGCCGAGAAAAATACCGAGGACAACAGCGAAGATCAAAATGACAGTCGACTTACATCCTCCATGAGTAACTTGGAATCACCTATGTGTAAGAGATATGTCCAACTCCGCCCGACGCTTCGTAGTATGTATGGATGGCGGAGTCGTCAAGTCAGTATGCGGGTCGAACAATCTTATATAATGGTCAGTTGGTGATCCTGAGACCTTTCCCCCTGTAGATTATGTTCTGCAGCTTCTTCCGCCTGCGCAGCAACAAAGATCTTCTCTTCACCCAGAATAACTGTCAAAAGGCCCTACCACTACGTCATTGATATCGGCCAACGTAATGAAGCGGTGCGATAACGAGATGCATTCCAAATGCCGTAGTTTTAAACTCGTACCACGCAGAGCACATGCCGCATCAGGTTCATTCTTCAACTTGGCAGACCTCAAAGTAATGCAACCACTGAGCTGTTCTTGCATGAGAGCTCCACAGACTGTCTGGGGTTCGATTCGCAGACGGCCCCTGAACATCAACGTCCCACACCGGTGGAGTCCAATAACACAAAGATCTTCATTGGATTAGTGAGGGGTCGCTCGGGTAATAAAAATCTCGTGGCTCCCAGGATTTGAAACGTGGTTCTCCCGGAAGCACCGGCCAAGACCTCGGACATTGACATCGTCAACCATGGCTCAGATTTTTTTGTGAGTTGTTTTCTCATCGCCGTCTCACCGAAGAGATAAGATATTAACCAGTTGTTCACAGTGTTGGCGGTACAGGCCACATCGGCGGCGCTGTGCTTGAACTACTTCTCAAGCAACATGCCGACGCCAAAGTGAAGGTCTTGGTGCGGGATGAGGCAAAGGCAGAGCGTCTGGTCAGCAAGTACCCGCAAGTCAGCTACGTCGTCGGTGACACGGGCAACTTTGAGCTTCTCGAGAAGTGCAGCAAGGAGGCCGACATCGTCATCAACACCTCCCCGGACATCACGCACGACGCGGGCATCAAGGCGATCCTCGCGGGCCTGAAGGCGCGCGAAGGACCCAAGGGATACTACATCCACACTTCGGGCGCTTCTCTCATCTGGGACGAGCCCGCCGGCTCCAAGGACGCCAGCTGGTGGGACGACATCAAGGACATCAAGGACATCCTCGCCTTCAAGGGCGAAGCCCACACGCACGCCGTGACTGACAAGATCGTGCGCGATGCGGCCTCAGACGTCAACGTGGCCATCGTCTCGCCGGGCTTCGTTGGCGGCATGAGCCCTTCCATTGAGCACCCGACCCCGATCACCACGCCCGCCATCTTCCTCACCGCCCGCGCCATGAAGACGGGCTGGCAAATCGCAGAGGGAGAGAACACCCACGCCTGGATCGACGTCTCCGACCTCGCGAGGATCTTCCTGATCCTCATCGGAAAGGCCATCAACGGCGCGTCCGACTCTGAGCCGTTTGAGCTCTGGGGAACGGAGGCGTACTACTTCGCCACCGGCGAGGACATCTCGTTCGCCAAGTTCATGAAGCACCTCGTGCCCGTCCTTAAGAAACACGACGTTATCGAAACCGAGGAGATCAAGTCGGTTAGCGTGGTCGAGGCCGCGAGAACCAGCATGGGTGGAAGCGACTACGACCCCGACGACACGCCGCCGCCGCCTGACACCTGGGCCATGCACATTGCCATCATGTACGGAATCAACATGCGCGTCAGCGCTTCCAGGATGGAGAAGCTTGGCTGGAAGGCTGAGAAGGGCAGCGTCGTCGACACCTTCCCTGAGGTTGTCACCGAGTTTTTGAAGCGGGAGAAGAAATAGTATAGCTCGCTGTCGTTTCTTGTGAACAATATTTCACGACCTGGCAAGATTGGTGGTTGTTTGTAAAAAGAAAAGTACATGTATGTGTGTGGGGGGCGGATTGCTTTCTATTGCTGCAAGGCAGAAATCTACGCATGTATCTCTAATAGCTTCGCTGCTCACTTAGGCGCTGGGGAGTGTTTTTGCTACAGCGCAGCATTTGATACTGGTTTCAGAAACAAAAAGTTGTTATATCCTTCATTGAAGACCACGGAGTACAACACATCTCGTTGCGTGGAATGTGTGTGATCTTAGTTTCGGTTTCATGCACCCAATCATTTGTGTTAGATTAAGCTATCTATTGAGAGTCAAGTTACTCAGGTGGCGTCGCAACTATCGAGTAAATGAGTGAGTCTAGAATGACGAGAGTTTTACATGAGGCGTGCAAAAATGAACTCAGAACTGCATAATTATCTGGTCATGAAGACAGCCGTAAGTCAGACAGATGCTTTTACCCCGAAATCTCTTATGTTGTGTTTGTTCCAGTCTCTGTGGCCTAAATCTCACTTCTAAAGGAACTTAATACATAACGGCCTTAATTATGTTTAGTACAATCAGAGCGTGAGACTTTCGAGTGAAGCAAATTTTATTTAATCTTCATTCAGTTGCATAGTTGAGCAAAAGCTAATTTTTTTTATTTTTTTTTATTTTTTTTTATTTTTTTTATTTAACGCCATGGCGGCAAGGGCGCAGCGGCCCTTGCGGCAGACCTCCCGAAGGGTATGTGGCGTGGAGGGCCGCAGGATCTAGCTATATACTCTGTAGTACACGCCTCTTCCTAGCGTCCTCCAGATCTTGCCCGAGGGCCACTATGTGTTCTATCCGTCCCTAGTTCC